ATTTTTTATCATTGAAAAAATGGCAGTGTTAGACTAGTGAGTAAAAATGTAAATAATTGAATGGAATCTTCTAAATTTTATGTAGTATATCTGTTTTCTGGGAAGAGATTTACATGTATCCTCAAGTTTTTAAATAAACTATGGATAGCATGTAGACAAAATGTACAACGTGGCGTCTCGTTATCTTTGCACTTCTTCATGGAAGCTTACACTCAGATCTCTTCTTTCCAAAAAAACTTAACACCAAGTGTTATTATTAATTTTATGCAACCGTAATCGAAGACTCGAGGACATATATATTTTGCTCTGACCGTCCGTCCGTCAGTCTGTCTGTCTGTCTGTTGGACAGTTTATCTGCTTGTCTGTTAGTTCGTAAAAAAAACTTTAACTTTACCCATATATAGCTTTTTATTGGTTTGAGGTATGGCTTTTATTTCTTTCAGAGGTATTCCGTGTGAAAAGTCCTTTCCTAGGGTATAAATAAGTTTGACATTTTGACCTTGATCTTGGAGTGTGACCCACTTAAAAATATACCTTGGACATATCTATTTAACGGTCAAATCAGGTAATTGTATGCTTCAAATGTTCATTTCTTTTGACAAGACCTTCTAGTGGGTACCGACAATATTGACACTTTGACCTTGACCTCATGAGTTTGACCTACTTTTGAAAAAAAAAAAAAAACTTTAACCTTGGCTGTAATTTCTGAACGGTTAGTGCTAGGGCTTTAATACTGTTAATGTGTTATATTTTGCACATACTATATTTAGCGGAAGTTGTTTTTCAACAAGTGAGCGTAACTTCGGTCATAACTTTTAAAGACTGATTCTAAAACTTCCACATTTCACCTGTGTATTTCTTCTGAAATTCATTTGTGTACTATTAATTTTGGCCCTTTGGCCTTGACAATTTTTGACTCACTTTTGAAAATCTTTAACTTTGGCCATAATTATTGAACTGTCGGTGGTTTTATAGCTTTTAGATTTCAAAGGTGAACTCATTGTGACAAGACCATTTTTTTGAGTACCAACAATGATGATTTCTTGACCTTAACCTTGGAGTTTGACTTGCAAATGACAACCTTCGCCATAAGCGGCCATACGAGGGCATCATTGTTTCCCCAAAGCATCTTGTTGTTTTAACATCAGCTCCTAAAAAAAACTTTTTCACTTTATTGGACTACAAGTACCAAACTGCAGTCTATAAAATTTTTGGAAATATTTATCATAGTCCATACACCGCATAATAGAGAATGAATTGTCTTTACACACACTTCAGCATTGAATCATTTTTTTAAAGATGTTGTGTCATAATATTAATGGTGAGTGCAAACAAATTGAGAAACGCGCGCTAGCGCATTATGAAATTTTTTTTGCACACACCTTTGCAGATTCAAGACTACATCTTTCAAAAATTATGATTCAATGCTTATATATACTTTTTTAACTCCTTGCTTTGATTCTTTTTTAAAATATTTGTATTATCCCTCGGGTAAATTACAATTAATAGAAGTAAACGTGAATTTTGATTTTCGCTTATGACATTGCACTTACAAGGCGTTGAACTTTTGTGACGTCAACATATAATGCATACTATAACCTTTTGCCCCCCCCCCCCCCCCGTCTTTGTTATTGTGTTTTGAATGCGTAGCTATCAACACACTTTATAAGCAAAATACTTGTGAAATGTAAATATATCTATCTGTTTTCCAACTCGAACAAAAATTACAGTTTCGATAGAAGTCTTCGATGACAGATCTTCTACATTCAACAGCGGAAAACTCTAATTTTTATTCTTCTTGAATGATTATCTGTAGCAATAAAAGATATTTATTTTCAGAAAATGTGATGTTTTGACTTTAACCTCATAACATACTCTTGCTAAAAAAGTTAGACCTGTAAGACTTACGAATCAGGCATCATTGCGTTTCTTGCCAGAAAAATTTACACCAAATAAAGATATTAATGGTATAATTCAATTTGTTGAAAGAAATATGATGTACGTCTGACGTCAAATATTTAGCTCATTTTTTCCCACAAAATAAAAATGGAACAAGAGCATCCAATTAAGCAATTATTGTTATGTATACAAGGTATATTAAGTATATAATAGATTATGTCTGCTCATCTATTGAAAATACTGCATGTATGGAAAAAAATGAGGGAATATCTGTTTGAAGATGCATAATCCTGGATATATTGTACTGCAGTACATGAACATCAAAAGTAACTAATTCGGATTAGGTTATAAAATATCTTTAATACAATGAAACCTATTTTATCCGACATGCACTGGGAGAAAATAAACATGATGTAAGATTACACAGTGTAAAGATAATAGAAATTAGTAGAAGAATTGAGAATGAAATTCAAGTCGGAATTCATAGATTCTACAGGTGTCGGAGAAAACAGTTTCCACTGTAATACTTTTTATAATAGAACAATCTTTATCCCAATTATCCATCTAGGCACCTTCATGTGGCAATGTTCGTAAATAAGAACGAACTATTTCTAATTTCCAATTTATTACAATACATATTATGTACAACTTTAACTGGGTACATTTGGTAAGGAAAATTGATAAAACATTATTGCTTCAGCAAATAGTTCAACCACAAAAATCCCTCAGAACACAATCCTTTACAAGTTTTCTCTCTTAATATATAACATTATCTTAAAAAAAAAATTGAATAGAATCCCGTGATAAATTTAAAATAATTTATTGTCTCTTTTATCAGAAATGTTTTCTCTGACTGATTGGTGGTCGTCGTCAATTTGAGGCCTGGTCTCTAAATTTTGAATGTCCATCTGTTGTAAGTAAAAAAAATAATAAAAGTATTAAATAATGTTGAAGAAAAATAAAATGGTATGTTTTATAAAAAAAAAAAATAAAAGAATTAAATAATGTTTTATGAAAAAATAAAAAAAAATTAAATAATGTTTCAGAAAAATAAAAGGTATGTTTTATACCTTTAACGGATTTTCTAATAGCCGTTTAAAATGTTCAAGGAAATATCAAAGAGTAAATGGTTATTAAGGTTTAATGATGTGTACCTAGTGACGCCTGATCAACATCAATGTCTCCTTAACAGTTGGCCCCCTTTCTACTGTAGGATACCAAGGTCCCCACCAGTATGCCGGGGACCATGGACCGTTGAGGAAGGCGTAGTGACAGGAGTTAAACCACCAACCTCCTCTAAAGTAAGCAGCACAGTTATCTCCCCAGGAACTTCCACTAACCCTGTCGTTATCTCTGTCTGGTGTGCTGAAGTACATCCCAGACAGATCACGAGTAGAATTCCCCGTGTTTAACAAACTGTCACCTGTAGAGAAAATACATCACAGAGATGATTGATTGATTTAAACATTGAATCATTATTTTATGTAAGATGTAGTCTCATAACTGCAACGGTGTGTGCAAACAAATTGAGTAACGCGCGTTTACATTTACATTTATAACCCCTTGCCTTGACTGCAAATTTGATTTCAGTTTCAAAATCCCTGTATTATCCTTAAGGTAAGTTACAATTAATGGAAGAGACATATGTTCCCAATCAAATCATTTTCTTTGAACATCAAGCTTTCATAAACATTTTGACATTACATATCAAATACGCACTGTAAACTTCCTTATCAGTAGCAGTTAAAAATGTAAATTATTGTAAATCATCAAGAAACTCAAGCTGAATAACAATAGCGGATCAAACGTAGTTACTGGATATACACGTTACTGGATATACGTTACTGGATATACACGTTACTGGATATACACGTTACTGGATATACACGTTACTGGATATACACGTTACTGGATACACGTAACTGGATATACACGTTACTGGATATACTACTTACTGGATATACACGTTACTGGATATACACGTTACTGGATATACTACTTACTGGATATACACGTTACTGGAAATACACGTTACTGGATATACACGTTACTGGATATACACGTTACTGGATATACTAGTTACTGGATATACACGTTACTGGATATACACGTTACTGGATATACACGTTACTGGATATACAAGTTACTGGATATACACGTTACTGGATATACTAGTTACTGGATATACTAGTTACTGGATATACACGTTACTGGAAATACACGTTACTGGATATACACGTTACTGGATATACACGTTACTGGATATACTAGTTACTGGATATGCACGTTACTGGATATACACTTTACTGGAATTACTAGTTACTGGATATACACGTTACTGGATATACACGTTACTGGATATACTAGTTACTGGATATGCTAGTTACTGGAATTACTAGTTACTGGATATACACGTTACTGGATATACTAGTTACTGGATATACTAGTTACTGGATATACTAGTTACTGGATATACCAGTTACTGGATATACTACTTACTGGATATACACGTTACTGGATATACACGTTACTGGATATACACGTTACTGGATATACTAGTTACTGGATATACTAGTTACTGGATATACTAGTTACTGGATATACACGTTACTGGATATACTACTTACTGGATATACTAGTTACTGGATATGCTAGTTACTGGAATTACTAGTTACTGGATATACAAGTTACTGGATATACAAGTTACTGGATATACTAGTTACTGGATATACTAGTTACTGGATATACCAGTTACTGGATATACCAGATACAAATAATTGAACATAATTTTCTTGGTTTTTAAGATATATAATTTATAATTTCTACTACTTAGCAGTGACTAATTCAATGCCTGCGGAATTTGTGAATTGTACTCACAAATGATATCGTAAAACACAAAAAAAAAAAGAAGTTTGCTTAACGCAGAATCAAAGACATTTACAGAATACTAGAAAAACATGTCTCTTTGTCTCTTTTTTCAACAACTAAATAAACATTATATGCGAAGAATTATATGACGGTGCACTTGATTTGATCCCAATTTTCAGATCTTACCTAAAAAAGCACTTACCTAAGGTTCCCGTGGCCGGTCCTGCAAGAAAGAGTTGATATTTTTCTGTTTCATCGGAGACAGAGAAGCGACCGTACAACTCATGCAACATTGTACCATTGTGGAGAGTGATGGCAGCATAGAGGAATGAGTTGTTTGCTTTTGTTAACTGATGGATTATATCATTTCCTGCATTAAGATATATTTAAAATCAACTGTGAAGTGTATTGCATACAATTAATTTTATTTTGAATATGAATATACCTTGATGAAAATCAAATTATTTTCTTAACCTGTAGACACTAGTGCTGTTTTTCGTCTCTTTAATACCATGCCACTAAGTGATTTTTAATTACCTCTTGCTTTCATTATTTTCTTATTATTTAAGATACAAATTAAACAGGATAAGTGAGTATTGTCGAAACATACTACTCAGTCTTAAAACCAAATCTTTGATAAGCTTCAATTTTATATCTGCCACAATAAAGAAATGTTGTCAAACTTCATAGCGGGTGATAACCTTTATTTGAAAGTGATTTACACTTACCAACCCAGACGTCCTGTTCAGGTGAACCAAAACCATTCTTATATTCCGTCCAGGTCCTGTCAAAACTCAGGGATCCGTTTACGCGTTTCTGAATTGCCTTTGAAAAATAATATGTATAACAATACAATTCATTGGTTCGAAGAAGAATTGTAGGATCAATGTGTTATGATATATAAACTCAAAATATTCATTTTTTTTTAATTTTACAATCCTTTAAACAACAAGAACACTGACTGTAAATTATTTTTTGTACTTTTAATTTTGATATAAACTAGATACCGTCCATCCTCCGTCCATTGTCTCCATGTCGCAGAAAACTCTGACAGGACTGGTAATGGTGCCATGGGGGTAAATGTCATACACCCCTGTATCCGTGTAACCATCTGCGTGAAGATCCTTACAATCGAAGGGAATAACTTAAAAAGAAAAAAATATACTGGAATCACATTATGCCTAAATACAGGTAGTGAGAGGATACATTATACCTGCAAGATATATTAAGGTTAATTGTTGAGGCTAAATTGTGAACTACAGTGTAGATTATGTTAAGCTCTCCCTAATTACATGAAATTATCTTGGTTTTCTAATTGTTTCAGATCTTTAATCTATGATATGGTTAAAAGTATTTTTAAAATTTAATACAATTAACCCCAATACTCTGTTTATAATTCGAACATTATTTGTATTTCTTATAGGAATGTTAATGAGGAATACATTTATAGATCAGATGGTGTACCGCGTGGACAGTGAAAGAGAACTAATTTTACTTCTAAAAAAAACATGGCAATGATATCGTTTCTTTCAGCTGATATAAGGTATGTTAAAGTGAACATTTCCTAAATTCTTAGGTACGTACAATGACCTTGTTTTCAAATACAGTCTGTCGTTTTATTGAATGTAGACTGACGTCTTTAACACAGATTGTAAGGCCTTTATTTTCACAATGAAATGTCCACGAACTTTCCGTTTTCCAGATCAGGACAGGGGACACACGGTGGATCTGACCGGTAGACAGAGGGTGCTTACTACTGCATGGCGCAGGATTCTCCAACCAGCTTTCAGGACAGTTATTTGCAAGATAGCAATTTCGAGTTCCTAACTAAAAGTGCTCTCTTTTTCGATTATTTAGTCAATTACAAGCTATAATTTTCTAATGGTTAAGAATGATACAGTTTCATTAAGCTAAAAATTAATATAATTACTGTAGAATCACCGTGTGAAAAATTTACCTTATATTTGTCACTAATGTGCTATACAATAGAAGTTTAATTTTTTTTTATCAAAGTTAATGCTAACAGAAAGTAAAGAAAGATAAAATAGTCTAATCACAAAATATAATTCCATCAACCTCAAATTAATTTTTAATTAGAAATAAAAATAATAAGAAAAAATCAGTAAAGAGACAAAAATATTATTTAGAATTAATAATGTTGAAAACAAAATTGTTTATACCGCATAAAACAATAATCTCAAGGGAAAAATCGTATCGTGAATAGTATACACTTATTTCATGACTACAAGAGAAACAGTCAAACTGTTGTCCCAAGGTAATGGGGAAGACCTGGAAACTGTTACCCGAGGCCGAAGGCCGAGGGCAACAGTTTCCCAGGTTTTCCCCATTTTCGAGGGACAACAGTTTGACTGTTTCCCGAGTTGTCATGAAATAAGTGTTTTATTACCTAACCTACTATATAATTTCTTAAAGTAATGATATCGACATAATAATCAATGGCTTTTAAAATACATCGACAAATGTTTGTACATGTATTATTTTTTAAAAACAAACTAAACAAGATGAATATTAATCAAATTCTCACACCGATTGGTGTTCAGAAAAAATAATGGATGTGATATTATCATGCACTAATAAATTTTAAAAAAAACATGTAAACAACATAATGATGTCTTGAAGATTTGAATATTACACGTTTATGGCAAAGAACTATACTGAGTGAAAGTGGCCTACATTTTTCCCAAATTACCCTCAGAAAAGGTGTTCATGGCCTCTTCTTCGAAATGATATTAAATTGATTATATATCAGGATTACTTTTAAGATGATAATTTCAAATTGAATGAAAATGCTTTAATTTTAAACATAATTCAATATTAAAGCTGTAAAGTACGGGGAATTAATTATGACGTCATAATGGAACTGTTCAGCCATGCAACAGTTCATTCTGTGACCGGGTAAACAGTTTTGACTGTTTCATGATTTGCAAAAACATTAAAAAGAATCAGGAAACAGTTCAAAATGCCTAATTACAATTTATATAGTAGGTTAGGTAATAATTTTGACTGTTTCATGATGTGCAAAAACATTAAAATGAATCAGAAAACAGTTCAAAATGCCTAATTACAATTTGTATAGTAGGTTAGGTAATAATAAATATTGATAAACCTCTTCGACCTAAAAGGAGTGCGATAAAAGCAGATGAAGCTTTTAGAGTGTTTTTTTTTTGTGATTTATGTATGACAAAAAAGTCGCCCGCGTGGCGCAGTGGTTAGAACATCTGCTCTAGAGTCGCCGAGTTAGGAGCTAATCCTTACGTCGCGGGTTCGAATCCACCGCGGGACGTGGACACTGGACCTTCGGATAAGACTGCATAAACCGATGTCCCCTGTCGAAGTAGGTGTTGGCATGAAAAAGATTATTCACTTCCCAATGGCCTCCGAATGCCGAACATAGGTATAAATTTGTAGCCCTCCATTGGCAAGTGGTGGCCTCTCCATGTGAGTGAAAAATTCTCGAATGGGACCTTAAAAAACAAACAACCAAACAAGCAAACAGACATAAAAAGAAATAACAATTATGCATACAGTTATCAGAGTAGTATCTCCAACCGGCCTCATCAGACATCTCAGACGTTAATTTTTTCTTGTGGGTACGACATTTCTTCATTTGAGAGTTGAAACCAAAGAAGACGCATTCCCTTTGACACATCGCGGCACACTCGGTCAATGAATGAGAATTATATTCTCCTAAAAGTTCGTTATTTGATTTCTTATCATTAAATTCCAGCATCGCGGTATATTTCTGTGAAATAATGATAGGTTCGGATAAAACTATGAATCCGACTATAAAAGAGATAAGACACTGACTGCTCATTTTTTCTTCTTTTTTTAAGGAAAAAAAGAGTAATTGCTGCGTTCCTGTGAAAGTTTGCTAAATGGTCTTTCAACCGCCAAATATATATATATATATATATATCAGAACCTTAATCAATGCAAGAAAAGTGATTGGCTAACTGTTACGTACTCTGTATTTTACAATCGTTTAAGTATCGATTTTATTGAAGTTAAGAGCCATTCTCTGTAATGACTTGAACTTTTATATAGGAGCTGTGGCACGCATAGACTCAGAATTTCTCCAAACTCTCTGTGGTAAAAGTCTTTGATACCGTAAACTCAAATCAGGCAAAAATTGGTTGCTACGTGTCATGGTTACCATAGCAACATGTCCTAAAGTTTGAAAAATGGCATTTTCAACATGTTCATAGTCTCACAGTTAACGTTTGCAGCAAAGCAAACAAGTGGCAATGACTGTTTCTGAAAGTTGAAGGCCTCGTGTCTTAAATGCATGATAAACATGTTTGGTAAATCAACTTTAACATACGTTACTATGGAAACAAAGTATTCAAAAGTAATAATTTTGTTTATTTAATTTTATAAAGTCATACACATAAGAACAAAAACAATTAAAGGTTGAAATGCAAGCAAACAATAGACAAGAGATCTTTGTAACGTATACCAAGGACGAAATATGATATTTCTTATAGGTTGGCAATGGTTGCCATGGTTTTAATACCATGAAGGGATTTTAAATTTACTCTCTTAGTGTTTTAATCTTATCCTATCTTTTTAAAAAGCATATTTCTATATAACTGATGATCAATTTTTAAAGGCATTGGTGTGACCCTTATTTTAACATTTCAAAAACTTCAATTTCAATTCTTTAAATAGTGCGTTGCTATGGAAATAAGGCGAAAAAACATGAATAAAAATCTGAAAAATACTCTGTTTCCTTGGATACGTACCCTTGTATGAAGATTCCCAAAACTTTAATGATTGATATATGTGAACAACTGACCTGACTTTCAATTTTGACTACCACCCAATCTCTAACTGGATGCAAAAAGCTGGCACATAGGGTCTAATATTGACATAAAATTAAGATAATCGAACATTTTCTCTTCTTGGTAACCATAGCAACAGTGTTGTATTTTTCAACAAACTTTATCAATATATGATATTCAACTTTAGTTCTATCAGATAAGAACTATTCAAGGTGAGTCAAATAGTATGTTTTCTTGATTAAAGGGTTAGTAAATTCCTAAAGCAGCAAAAAAATATCACTATAAACATCTAGTACATTGTTTCCATGGTTACACTGCAAAGTAACAATTAATCCCAATTTTTCTTATGTTGTTGGTGTTGCAAGGTCCTAAGGATGTATATGTGCCAGTCATGAATTTTATTGTTTTTCCTCAAGAGAGTAGCATTAACCCAATCATAGCAACATATTTTGCATGGTAACACTGTGTTACCATGGCAACCACGGAAGTTATTTTTAGAATAATATTGCCAATACCTAATTACATAAGGTCAAATATTTTTCATTGTTTTTCTTATGTTGTTGATTGAGTTTGATCATGTAACACCTATCATTTGTGAATATTGAGCATTTTTCAGCATTTTTCAGCATCTAAAATGTATGTCAAATGTACCCATGGTTACCACTTACTTAGAGATAAATCCTAAATAGTTTCTTTATAGCATAAGTGGCAACAAGGTGTCATGTTTTTGAGAGAATGGTTTGTTTGTTTTTCTTAGTATTCATTAAGGGTTAATAAGGACTTGAAGTTGCTGAAAATCTCAATTTTTTTTTACTTTTTTGGCTGTTACCATGGCAACCAAGACACATAGCAACGAAATTTTATTTGATATATGTTTCTGGTGTCAAGTTGTAATAATGGGCAAAGTTTCATCAAAATCGGTGACCATGCGTGGCAAAGAAGTTTAAGTGGTTACAGAGAATCGCTATTAATATGATTACTTCGAATTGCAATTCAAATATCAAAATGAAAAGTTTGCTGTTTTTTTCACATAGTTTATGCCTCTAATGTTAAGCTACTGTTGAGCATTTTTTTTAGTTAGCTGTCTTGAAAATATCGAATTTTTATACATATTTTCCTTTTTCATTATTGGCCTCTTACTCAATGCAATTAAAATTCTGCGATTTCGGTATTCAAGTTCAAAGAAACAAATATCCTATATTCTTGGAATTTATTAAGAATTTATTGAAGTGTTTCAACTTTTATACATTAGCCTCCAAATGTCAGTGTAACACATTACATTATC